CATAAGCGAAAAAAACAACACTCCAAAACCTAAAAAAATGCTCTAAAAATTAATTTCAAGAATATGTTTTAAAAATACAAAAAAAAGTCCAGAAATGTGAGAAAAAAATTATCAAAATCTGACCTTCAATGATTAGTATTCATTTGTTCAAAATTGATAAATATATATACATTAATGTTACTGTTATCGAATACTTATTATCTTCAAACTTGACCTGTTTAATAAACATATAGTGTCCCTCAAAAGCACTATATACCGAACATATTAATCCGAGGAAAAACAGAATCAACTATTTAAGAAACATTTCTGAAACCATACACAATAATTAGTGATTTAGATTTTTTAAGCATTAATTGCAGTACTAATTTATAATTAATTTATAATTAATTTATAATTAATTTATAAATTAATTTATAATTAATTTATAATTAATTTATAATTAAGGAATTCACGTCTAGAAGTGAATCAGCGCCTTTCGAAAAAAAATTCGAATAAACAAAAAAGCGGAAAGGTATTATACCATTTGGTGCTTTGAAATTTCAGGGAGCAATTCATATACAAAATTAATGTAATACAATTCTGAAATGAGCATATAGAAACATACTTAACTATTACAAATTTATCTGTTTATAAATATTAAAAAAATTCTTCGTATTCGCGTAATTTGCGCAAAGTAATTTATCAGCTGCAACCAAATCAGCTCTTGTCAGTTAAAACAAATTTAAAAGTAAATTTTCAAAATTCTAAACCAGATCATTACATAGATATAAGTTTTTGATGGTAAAATCTTAAAAGCTTTAAGAGTTATTTTATTCATAGAATACTCTTTCTCATTCGAATGAAGCAAATCTTTTTTCAGTTCCCACCTTTTTCAAAAGTATTCTGCTGTAAAATAATACTCATTATATTTTTTATTTTATTACACTCGTTGAACAGTCGACCCAATTTAGGATTTGAGAACTCCGTAGCCTTGTAATTTTGAACCCAATCCCTGAACACAAGAAAAGTTGTGGGAGAATTCATATCGATCAACCATTGGTGGGATTCGAACCCTGTTCACCTCATTGGAAAACGAAAACTCTATCCTTTAAGCAACCACGGCTCATGCTCATTATATTATGATATTTAAAAAAACTAAATTAATAAAAAATACAGAGGCCATTTTAATCCGAAATCCAAATTGGCAAATAAAGAAGACCTCTTAAAGAGAGACAACAAATTATATTGGACAAATACTGTTCTCAGGAATTTTTTTTCTCTCATTAAGGATACTTTAATATTAAAAACTAATTTAATTTTAAAAATCTAAAGACAAAATCAACGCTTTTACCTATTTTCGATGAAGTTTACGAACAGAGTTTTGCCCTAAGAATAAAAAGATTATCTTCCAAACGCCGCGAATGTAAAAAATTTTTATTTTTTCCCCATTTCTGTATGATTTATATCTTCAACTAAAGCGTCGTAAAAATGTTCATAAAAAAATAATAGTGGTTTGTACAAATAAGATGAACTAATATGAAGCCTTTTAGATCTAATCAATTTATCAAACAATTAAGTTCAATAAGAAATAACATAACACAGAGTGTATACCCAATTGAAATGTTTCAAATAAAAAAGTAATAAAAATTATAATAATTATAATTATAATAATTATATTATAATAATAATTATTATAAAAATTATTTTTTAATAATTATATTATAATAATAATTATTATAATATTTATTTTATAATAACTATATTTTTAGTAGAACACCTTATTTCATACCATAATATATTATATATCTTCAAATTTCATTGCAGAAAGGAATCAAGTTTTCAGTAAAAAATTCAAATATTTAGTGTAATCAAATTAAAATTGTTAACAAAGAAATATCAGTTCACTATTAAAATTTTCATTTGAAACCGTTTGCAACTAGTTTTGAAACCTATATCTTTAGGATGGTTAAAAAAAACATAAATAGAAAACTATATGGTTTTTTTAAACCATTTACAACTAGCATAGTTCCAAAATAGTAAAAACAAAATTTAATTGGACATTGGAGATACTTTAGCAGCATTATAATGCTGCCATCTTTGAGTGAATCACAGTATCGTACTCAAATAGTTCAGGGTCACAAATTGAAGAGGACACTAGAAACTCTTCATGTGTTGAAGGAAACGGGGAAAATAACGTGTCAGGGCTGAACTCAAACCTCCGTTCTGTCGGTTATTAGCCCTTTTCGCTATAATATGTACCAATTTGTAAGATACTAAATGGCTTCATTCAGTGGGCCTAATAAGTAATTGCCATTGTATCCAGTAATAAAATCTAAAATGGTTTAATTTGCACAATAGCGTGGTTCGTGGTTCAATAGCTATATTAATCAGCAAATTTGAATTATATTATTAATTAGAAAACTTTTAACAGTGTTCGCGGTAGATATTGAATATATAGAACATTTAGTAGTGAATTCATCAACATTTTTTTTATTGGTGCTTTCTGAGATAAAAAGTTTTAATGTTGAGTCATAATATCAGTACTCCAAACCTTAATGTTGTGTGAGGTTGCTACACTTTTGATAAAGTGTATATTTAAACACTTTTTTTCCTTAAACTTTACAAATATCATGATAACAAGTTTAAAATGTTTTAATTTGCAAGAAGGCTTTTTGGATGACATGGTGGTTAAACGAGTTTAAAAATTTCTGATAAGGTAGTACGATTTTAAATATTTGGAAATCACGTTCATAGAGCTATGTAATAAATCCGATAATATTTTTATCAGCTCACTCTGAGATCAATTTAATATTGTACAATGAACCGTGGTGGCCCAAGGGATGGAGTGCTCGTCTGAATAATAGTTTCGTTTATTCAAAGATACATCCATGTAAAAATAAATTTTAGTAAATATTTATTATTATTTTATTATTATTATTATTTTTTATTATTTTATTATTTAGCATCATTTTATTATATTTATTTTTCAATAGACTATTTATTTATATGTAAAACCCATTTTAGAATTACATACTTGAAATACGTACAATTTGNATTATTATTCTTTTATTATTATTATTATTTTAATAATTTTTATTATTTTACTATTGTATTAATTTCCATTATTTTATTTAGTAATAATCGAAACAATTTTGAGTTGTAAGGTATACAATTTTTTACATTATTTTAAAGTATCCAATTGTTCATGGCAAAAATACAAAATTTCTAAAAACTACTAAGTACAAAAATCGGCTAAATAGTTTTTGAAAAAGGGAATTTAAATATACGACTTTTTTGGAATTCGATTTCTCAGGAGTTATTAATAAACCAATCTAACCAATTCTGCCTGATTTCCTAACTTGAAATAACATCTGCATAAATTATTTAACATACTTGAGATCATCCCCCCCCCCCTTGAGTCATTAAGATTGATCCCTAGAGCTTGAAGATCCGATCATTAGATCAAAAGTTATTCCGAATGGTCCGGGGTTTTTTTTGGAGCATTGAACACTGCGGATATTGTATATTCAGAAATTAAGCTTACAGAACTAAATTTTGTCAGTTTGAATAATTGACAAATCATCCTAAATTTTAAATTTAATAGTTTTCAAAATATAATTTACAAGTATATGACAACTCCAAATATATCTTCCCTCGCTATGTGGTTCAGCTTTCTGAAAAGTGTGAACGGAGAGGGAAAACGCCATTTTTATTCAAATTTTTTATATAAACTGTTGCTGGATAACTTTTTTACTCGACAATGAATTATGAAATAGCGTGAGATGCAAGTTTGTTGCATACAAAAAAAATGAAAATTACTAAAGGAATGTTATTCCAGCATTTCAACAATTCCGCAATCAGAATTTTTTTTTAAAAAAAATAATGTAATATTACACCCGTGTTAAGTGGAAATCAGAATAAATTGCTCTGGGAAACAGATTAATTTGTTGTTGTTTTTTTCTGTTGCATGAGATTTTTTAACCGATCTTGGATATTTTCACATGGCTAATTTCAAATCTGTAATCGGTTTCTCTCGTAAGCAACATTTTTTGAATGACATTTTCAGGCTATTTTTGTCGAAGCATATATTTCGATTAAGGAGACCATTCACTCTTTTAAAAGAAACAACTATCTAACTTTGCAAGAGCATTGGATTTGATTGAACCACTGAAAAATGGCCCTAAACAAATCAAATGCGAGTTAAAGAATCTTTTTTTTTTCGCCGAAGAAAAAAATCGTCTACACGAAACAATACTTATTATTCTTTTATCATTTTCTTTAAATACGTGCAGAAAGACGTATGTTTGTTATGATTTTTAGATATCATTTTTATTAATTCTTATTAACAAAACAATATTTTTTTATTCAATAAGTTGCGTCGTTTCAAGAGTTGGTGAAGTTGATATGTTTTCGCAATGGGCGCTTGGCATCCATTTTGTTTGCACTTAGATACAAACATACTCATCCTAACAATCCGTAAGAATAAGAGTTTCTTCTCAATTTGCAATATAGTATAGTTTCAAAACGTTATATACAACAGAGGGTCACATAAATATAATGACAAAATTCTAGGGGAGTTGGGGCACATCATCAGGACTAAAACAGCTCAAAAACCCATGACCGGAAAATTCATCATACGCCACTTGAGGCGCCTCCCTATTATGAATTGTTTCTTCGTGTGTTTTCTGGACAGTTCATAAAAGGTAAACGAATATAACAACATACGGCGACATTTCAAGGCATTTGTTAATAAGCTCTTTTAAGCCAGATCGTGTATCCGTTTTCCTCTTCAAGTTTGTCGCAACATTTATGCTGCCCCTTGTTAAATATAACGTTTTTATAAACTTGCACATTTCGACAAAAATTTAACTTGAAATGTCATTTAAAATAAAAATCTGTAGCTCTAGAAGCAAATTTAATTTCAGATTTAATATCTCCGTACCCGAATTAGGCAAGATCAAGTACTCTATAAATGCAATAAAAATTTGTCCTTCAGTGTAATTAATGAATAAGAAACAAACTTTCCAAAAAATGTTATTTATTTTTCAAGTCTCTATAGGAACCATATCACTTAAGAGGTACTTCACTCAATTCTCTACAGTTATCAGGATCATTATATGGACAGCAGTCAGGAAAGTGACCAGGGCCTTTTTTTGTAAAACCACAAGTAATCTCTGCAGCACAACTATAAAAAAAAAGGATCAGATAATAAAAACGATTAATATAAATTAATTTTCTGGCTGTTAAATGCTGAAAACCTTTTGAGATATAGGATAAAACTAATGATCGACACTGGCAATGGAATGATTAAAAAATTGTCTCACAATCGGCTGCCGATCGCCATTTCTCTCGCCGAAACCTGAAAATTACTTTATATCAATCTTGTTTTTAATTTCAATGTTTTAAAATGATGCTATTCTTTTTTTAAAGTATCCAGTTTTATATATATATATATTTTGAATAATTG